AACTGTGGTCCATCCTTCCCCTTTTGCCTCCCATCATTGCGAGTATGCAAATTAACCACCATCTTAGTTGGCAGTTAATTTGCATATTGCCTTGATTAGCCAATGGGAAGGGTAGTGAAGTGACACCAATTTGCATGTTTCTCTTTTATTAGTGTAGACATAGATAGATAGATTGAATATGGAAATTTATAATTTATAGATACCTTTACTGCCCTCCTTTAACCCCTTCCCCAACAATTTTTTTGTTAAAAACGTTTCTTTTTCAGACAAATTTTTTTATTTTGGTTCTATATAGTATTTTTGATGCTGGTTATGAAAACAGTTTGTAACTCGTCTTCCTATAAACCATATTTTTTTACCATATTTTCTTAGTATACTTGTCGACGACTGAAAAAGAACATTTTGTGAAAACGAGTATACACGTTTCTGCCGGGGAAGGGGTTAAAGTTAGTATGAATGATAAGAAGGCAGATCTGGAATCAACCTGGGTTCTAAAGTAATTACTGTTTTCTGAAGAAATGCTCCATTGCATGACCCTAAGCAATTTAACTTCCCATAGTCACAACTGCCTAATCTCTAAAATAGTGTCACCTTTAAAACACAATTAAAAATAACATACAGAAAATACCTAACACAGTGCCTAGTATATAGTAAGCAATAAACATAACTTACTGTTTTTATAGGAAACGGTGTTCTTATTACATTAGATCTGATAACAAAAAATGCTTAATGTTTTCACTAGAAAACATTTTTATTTACTAACCTAACTCATTCAAAAAAAAGTCTATAAATTCCCACCATATCTAGATTAGAAGAATCCTTTAGTTTTACAATAATAAAACCTTTGGGGTATTTTCCTCATTTATAACAAAACTTCCTTCTCTACAAACTGTCCCTCCACCCCAATCCATGTGTTGGTGTTCCTGCCAATCTCTTATTCTATCGACCCCATCCAATCCTGCCATAGATAACTGGAAAAAAAGATGCATATCTAATGTAAATTGGGATATTTATACTTTAAAATTTCACTAGTCAGTGAAAAAGGTAACTAGTCAGTATTTAATTGCAGCTATAACTGAAAACTTTAGAATCAAAGGGCAGCCATAGTGCACCATGTGGAGCAGAGGAGAAAGCTGGGCTGTGAAGAAAAAGTTATGTTAAACAGAGGAACTCAGGAGAGTAAAAAAAGCAAAAAAGTAATTCTTGACAACTTTCTAGTTCCTTTTTTTAGTCCCTTCTTAAAACCCAACTTTATTCCTTTAAGCTGTTTTCCATAAAACAGCTGTATATCCTTACTAAAGAAACCTCTTTTTTGGCTTAAGCTAACTCAAGTTGGTATCTGTTACCTGCAAAGAAAAATGTCTTCACTAATACAACAAATGTCCCAGCATCACTTAATACCTTGGCCAGCCAGAAAACATGTGCCTACTTTACAGATAGTTTCAGTGAATCTGATTTAGCTAAGTCAAGGGAAAGCTGCATTTTAATATTAGTAGTCAGTCACACACCATAATAAGATAATCATACCACATTGTTGAGTCGGTCATCAACATTCTCATTGCTCCAGTTTGGTAAATCCTGATCATTCATGCCTTCTTCAAAAGGACCTCCTCCTGCGGCCATACTGGCTTTAACAATTTTCTGTAAAACAAGTAAAAACCTTTTAACACATAAAACAAACTCTAATATTTAAATCACTCCATGAAACTTAGCAATATAAAAGAATCTCGGAAAAGTTGATTTTATAAAATTAAAAGAGGCACTGCCAACCACATATCACAACACGTTAATTTAGACATAGTATGATTAATATGAGTTAAGTAGTTGGAGTGATGGGGCGAGAAGGAAAACCTCTGAATATCCACCATGTAGACTTGCCTGTAAACTTTAAGGTTATTTCATTTAATTTATTCAACGAAGTCCTAAAAGATAATGAGATAGGAAAAAGTTACTAACAACTAAAACCAAAAGTGCTCTTAGAAAAGAAACTAATACTCTCCAGAGACCCAGGCATTTGCTTTATGTCAAGGATACAGAGGGCAGAACTGCTCTGCATGAAACACAAAGAAAGGCTTGGTTTTAATAGAAAGTAATGGTAAGCAAGACGAGGAGGCAGGAAGCAGCAGGACTAGATGGGCGGCCTATAAAAGCAATGAATACAGTAGCTTAAATCACTTTAAAAATATTTTGCCTTTAAATTGTATTTCTAGGAATTTTGTAAAAATCAAGGAAGGCAGTGGATTTCATGCCCGAGTCAGAGAAGAGAAACAGTAGTAGCAATGGGAGAAGCAAGCAAAGGTTTAAGAACAGAGATTATCATGAGAAAATAAGATTTCTACATATCCTGTGGAGAACTGGATTTCCACTGAGTACGGAACTGTGCCTGTTGGAGGCTGGGTGAAGAAGAGGGTGAGACAACTTTACAACTTTATAATCCAAAGGGCAGGAAAGGCCATTAGACATCAGGGTTATAATAGGTTTCTCATTTTATAAACATTAACACTAACATTAAAAGGAGTTAGATCATTTTGCCAAGGTGATGCAGTTAAAAATGTCAAAGGGAGAACCAAGATGGCGGCATAGGTAAACACCTGTACTTGCTGCCTCTCACAACTACATCAAAACTCCAACTAAAAGACAAAACAAATATCATCCAGAACCACAAGAAGGCTGGCTGGGTGGAAGATCTACAACCAGAAGGAACGAAAAAAGTGCACTGAGATTGGTAGGAGGTACAGAGGTGCAGAGGTGCGGAGGCACTCGTGAAACAGGCTGGCAAATGGGTACGCTGTTTTGTGTTTTTTTTCAACTGGGAGACAGGCTCCTGATCACTCTGAACTCCAGTTCCTGGCGAGACTCTGGGGACACAGACTCATACCAGGAGAAACAAGACTGTCTGGCATTGGGACAGGAACATGAGGGCAGCTTTCTCTCAGAGGTCCTTGCAGCGAGCGGTATGTGGAGACGCGGGAACCTTCCTGGTGTAGGGCTGACTGGCAGCCATGCTGTTTGCTCTGCCCTGGTGATTCCCTGAAACCCCGCCCCACCCAAGCTGTGGGCAGCAGCTTTTGCATATAATGGCCTGTCCTTTCGAAGCCTAACCTAACACACTGCAGCTGGGTCAGAGAGCTCCAAAGCTTCCAAAAGAAGGCCCAAGGCTTGGCAGCAGCAGACTGCCTTGCTTCACAGCTGGGCCTCATCTGGGCACTTCCAAACCCCAAACAAAGAGGAGGAATCTGCAGATCTCCCTGTAGCTCCTGCTGGGTGGCTTCAGGGAGTGGCTGACTGTGCACCTCCTTGGTGATCCAAGAGCCAGTATACCCAGTGGTCAGTGTGAAACCATATGGATTACAACTCTTCACATTCATAAGCGACACACTCAAGGGGCAGACTCAGTGAGCACCAAAGCCCCACTGAAGCAAGTCCTGCCACATAAGTGTGTCTCTTTAACCAAGATTACTTTATCCAGCAAAGCTATCATTCAGAATTGAAGGTCAGATAAAGAGCTTCACAGATAAGAAAAAGCTAAAGGAGATCATCACCACCAAACCAGTATTAAATGAAATGCTGAAAGGTATTCTTTAAGAAGAGGAAGAAGAAGAAAAAGGTAAAGATAAAAATTATGAACAACAGCCTGGCTGGCGTGGGTCAGTGGTTGATGTTGACCTATGAACCTGGAGGTCACAGGTTCAATTCCCAGTCAGGGCATTTGCCCAGGTTGTGGGCTTGATTCCCAGTAAAGAGCATGCAGGAGGCAGCCGATCAATGATTCTCTCTCATCATTGATGTTTCTATCTCTCTCTCCCTCTCCCTTCCTGTCTGAAATAAATAAACTCAGTAAAAATATTTAAAAAAATTATGAACAACAAAGTGACAACAAATACATGTCTATCAACAAGTGAATTTAAAAATCAAGTGAATGAAAAATCTGATGAGCAGAATAAACTGATGAATATAACAGAATCAAGGTCATAGAAAGGGAGTGCACTGACAATTCTCGAGAAGGTGGTGTGGGGGGTGCAGGAAGAGATTGGAAGAAGATCATACACCTATGGACAAGGACAGTGGGGGGGGGGCGGCGGGAGGAAGAGAATGGGGGGGGGGGGGAACCGGGGGCAGGGGAGCTATGGGGGGAAAAAAGAGGAACAACTGTAATAATCTGAACAATAAAGATTTATTTTTAAAAATGTCAAAGATGAATACAAATACTAGGTGCTTTAATTGTAAGATCCTAACTTATCCCATTCGTCACTAGAACACAATATTAAAATAACTATCATCCATGACAAAGGATTGATCGCCTGGATGTTTTAATGCTAGGCTATCTATCAGAATCATGTGTTAACATATTACAGAGCAGATTAAATTTTGTCATCTCAAAATAAAAAGTGATGTGATAAAATTCAGCACTTCAAATTTGAAAAAAAATCTTAAAAGTACGTATGTATCGACAGCTCCTTAAAGCTAGATTTATTTTTATACAGTGTTTTTTTTTTCAATGAGCATACATTACTTTAATAAACTTCTGAGTTGAAAAAGTACATTTTAAACCAATGGACAATAACTTTAAAATAAAACATTAAGGACGTCCCTATTAAAATAAAGACCAAAACAAGAATGCCACATTATCAGTTATTTAGCATTGTTTCGGAAGTCTAAAAAAAAAATACAGAAAAATAAGAAACAAATATTAATATTGAAAAGAGAGGTGGTGGTATTTTTAAAGAATATGCATTAAGCCTTGGCCAGTGTGGCTCAGTTGTTGAGTATTGTCCCATGCACCAAAGGTCGCTGGCTTGGCCCTAGCTGGTTTGGCTCAGTGAACAGAGCCTCAACCTGCGGACTGAAGGGTCCTGGGTTCTATTACGGTCAAGGGCATGAGGACATGTACCTTGGTTGCAGACTCAATTGCTGGCCATGGTCGGGGCACATGCTATAGGCAATCAATTGATGTCTTTCTTACATCAATATTTCTCTGCCTCTCCCCCTCTCTCCCATTCTCTCTGAAAATCAATGGAAAAATGTCCTCCAGGGAGAATTAACAACAGTAAAAAATAAAGGTCAGGGCGCATGCCCAAGGTTGCAGGCTCGATTCCCAGTAGGGGGTGTGCAGGAGGTAGCCGATTGATGTTTCTCTCTTGGATAGTTTCTCTCTCTCTCTCTCTCTCTCTCTCTCTCTCTCTGAACTCAACAAAACTAAAAAT